TGCAAAGACTGAATCAAATTAGCCTTGTGGCTTTTGACTGTCTGTACTTAGCCTAGGATGGTAGGGCAGAGCCCTGCTTGGGCAGCAAGGGCACTGCTAGAGAGTAGCAGCACTACATTGCCCTGGAGACAAGTGGAAACCCCTGACTGGAAGGGGTGGAGCTTGTAAAGCCTCATAAATCCAGTCCCTGAGACCAGGCAGGCAGTCTGGCTCTGCAGGTGGCCAGAAGGTAACATTCAGGCTATTTCAAAACAATGTGAACCAAAGGAAAGCAACCCTCCAAGTGCCCTGACAGTATTTTTTCTTTAACCCAAGGGAAATCCAGTCCCAAAGATCCAACTGATCTCAACTGTGGTCAATATGGCAGGCTTAAAACTGTATTATAATGTGGGGTTCACCACTTCCAGATTCAAACCAAAACAACACTTATATTTTAATAAAAATAAAAATGATATACCTAGTATAAACAGGACTGAAACTGCTAACACAACAACACACCCTACAGAGTTAGATTAATATGAACTAAATAAAAAAGTCATTACAACAAGACTTTGAAGTTGGTTTACAATTTGTTTCATCTGATCCAGTTTTAAAAAGGCCAGGTCAATGATCAAATGAACAAGATAAACCTCTAAACCAACTCACCTTGTGCCTCCGGCCAAATCCAGACCATGAGTTTCCAGGTGGGCTAGACCTGGCCCAGACCAGAGAGCAATGGTGGCAGTAGCCACCATGGCAGCAGTGGGGCAAGCAGCTACAGGCCAGGCAGCTAGACTTGTGCTGTGGCACAAGTGGTAGCAAGTAAAGGGGTGGTGGGGCAAGTGAGACAGACCTCACTCTTCCTCCTAACATTGATGGCCACATCAACCAGAGGCCCAGACCCTGGGATTCAGCATTAAGCCGTGCCCACTGCTGGCCATACGCTCAAGTTCCCTGGCTCTCTAGTAGCTCTGCAGCCCGGATGGATGAGCTCCACAGGGTGGATGCTAGATACCCCTGCTCAAAGCCATCCTCAAAACAGAAACTCCGAGCAAAGATCCAAATTCACTTGTATCCCTTGCAAGGGTTTCACTCTATTGCATGATTGAAAACACACCCCTAAGCTTCCCTGCTTAATTTGGCTGATCTATGGCTTCCCCAAGGAACATCTTCCACTGAACTCAATACTTCCCCTATGTATTCACTTTCATCTTACATGAAGCTAACCAGGCTAACATGCCAAGGTATTCAAGTAGAAATTACCATGAATTGAACCCAAGTTTTAGGTCCTAAGCCAGAGGTAGCTCAAGAGAAAACCCTAAACACACTAGTGCTGCACTTCAAGTATTTGTGAACAAAAGAAAAGGGTTAGGGAAGCAGAGAGAAATTCCATTTGAAGGCCAACTATTCCAAATTTTGGAGAATACTTTAGGTAGTCTTTACAGCTAACTGCTTTTTTGACAGAAAAGTCTGTTAATACTTTCCTGATTACTGAAAGGTGAATGCATTTTTGAAGGAAAGGATTTTGCCCACTCTGAGTGTTACTAACAAATTTTAAGTCAACTTCTGTCAAGGCACCTCTTAAAATTGACTTAAATTGGCAGAGAATAAGTTTTATAGCTTATATAATGTTATATATGAAGTTTCCTCCCCTAATTTGACATTTCCAAAAATAAATTCAGGCAGCCAGCATTAAAAATTGGTATCATAACTGCAGAATTATTTGGTTGTTCAGTATCTTTAAATTCTGCTGCTGGTTTTGAATCAGAGATATCTAAACTTCACTTTATGGTTACTTTTAATCAAAAGTCTTATTGAGCTCTTTATATAGGGGATTGCCACTTTTATTCACTTCTTTTTCACTATGCCTAACTTGCATTTTTCCCCTTGCTAAATATAAAACTTGCATACACAATGACTTTCAGGGTTCTCTGCTATTCAGAAAACCAAAGATAATGTTTGACTCATCCAGCATTAGTTTTCTATTATTTAAGTGCCCATTAAGGCCCTTGAACCATTTTTGGTATAACCATTTTTAAATACCATATAGACCAGAACAGCCTATACCATCTAAGAAAGATTATTTTCCTCTCTTCCCCAGTTTTGATACATACTATATAGAAGTGAAAAATCCTCCTTGAAAAAAAAATCCTTAAATAAAGTTAAAGCATTGGGTTTCTCTCCCAGATCCCATTATGGAGGAGATGGGGGTGGAGTTTGTGTTCCCATATGTGTTCCCACTCTTCACTTTGGTGATACCTAGGAATGCTCAAAATGTTTTCTATGAAAATATCTTCCTGTCAGTAATATGTGCTTCAGTGTTACAGGGCTTTTTAGAATTGCTCTCCAAATGCTTTTTCCCTCCTCATCTTTCTTTGCCAAAAATCTAAATTATTGGAATTGAATGTTTTGACTTTCCATTCCAATTCAAAATGAAACCTAATTTTGAAACAAGTTTTCTGTTGGCTCAGTTCCATTCCTCCAGCGCAAATGTACAGCTTCTCATAGCTAAATTGCCACAGCACTGCCCTTGCACAAAACTATGTTCATGAATAGGAGGTGCAATGCCCTTTCAGTTCCCCACAGAGTACTTACTCCACCAACGAAGCTTGCATCTCCTTGGGTGGCAAGTTGCTCCAAATGGAAGATGTGGAAGTAACATAGCCTGAGATGTATGAAGCACACCCTCTTCAAGGTATTGGGTTAAGCTCTCAGCAGTCTCAGACAAGTGGGCACCTATACATGTGATGGACCTCTGCTCCGATATGTGATAATTAGCACATCAGAGCAGACTCGATTAATCAAGTCTGATGCAAGTCTGCTGGAGCATGCTAATTCGAGTGCTCCAGCAGCCTCTGTGTCATGTGTATTCAGTGTCCCCACATTTGAAAATGTTCAAAACATTTGTGAAGAAAACAAAAGGGATAGGGCACAGGGAGAAATTCCATTTTAAGGCCAACTATTCCAAATTTTGGAGGATGCTTTACATTGTCTTTACAGCAAACTGCTTTTTTGACAGAAAAATCTGTTAACACTTTCCTGATTACTGAAAAACAGGATGCTGAATACATATGACACTGCAGACAATTTAATTAGTGCCCCTCCTCCCCTTCCATACACGCATGTATAGATACCCAAAGTTACTGTTTCATTTACACTGTTTCATTTACACTTGGATTGTGTTTTTGTGCCTTTGCCAACTCCACCTTTATCTATCCCCATACAGCCTGACAAACTGTCTAACCAAACTTGGCTCTATACTTTTCAGCAGCCCATGTTCTATTTTCTTAATCTGTAATTTAGTCAGGGCATGCAATTTTGTAAACTTTTTTTTTTTAACATTTACTTTTTTGAGGGCACAGTCCTCCAGGAATGAAATTCTTGTTTCACCTCTGAGTTGCTTTTCCTGTAATATTTAGGAAAGACTCTGGGTATGGACAAATGTATGTTTGTAACAGCTTCTAAAGCGGGGAAGGAGATGTTGCTCAGGAATATGCAGCAGCTACTATATCTGCATGGGAATATAGTAATACATATTAGATAAATCACCCTAGCTTTGACTCCGGATAACTAGCCTAACTCTGACCGTATCTTCTTTCGACTCGTACAGGAAACCAGCTTTTGGCATCCAGGGTAAAATCTCCCTCCCCACTTGAAACTGTTCCAGTTGTATTTTTGTCTATACCCTTTCTCTGTGCCTCCTCAGAGGCTGGAGGTAATTACTAATTGTCTCAAACATCAGGAATCTGGAACACAAACATGTTCTCCAAATCCAAGACTTGTGGATGAACAAGTGTTTCTGATTTGACAATCGTATTATCTGAATAGGGTTATTTGGGGGGGGGTGTTAAACATATCTGAATGTTTAACATATCCGACAAGATGCTTGAATCAGTGTTAGCATAAGCAGCAACAATAAGCAAAAAGAATTATCGACTTTTGCACACCCAGGACATTTTTAGAAGTGACAGTAGAAGCATCCTCTTCCTGGCCTGTTGAGCTCATTCAATAGGAGATTAAAATATTCCTTTATTTTCAGGATTTATAAATCCAGTCTTGCTAGTTCTCAAGATTTTCTTGTAAATCTCAAGATAAACACCTTTTAATCTTAAAGCCTCAGCTGCTGAAAGACGTATTTCAGTTAAAAAAAACCAAAACAACACATCTATCCTTTTGGTTGGGAGGAAAAGCAAGCATGTGCGATATTTGCATTTACAACTATCACATGGCAAAAAAGTGATGTGAAGTCAAAAGATGAACATTAGCCTTTGAGACTCTCTCTCATACATATTTCTAGACCATAGGAATAAAAATATTAGCCTAAAACTAAGACTGTTTTCTCCTCCTACTCTGCTTCCTGATGAAGCCATAGACAGAACCACAATGGTGCTATGCAGAGCTATGCTTTTATTTTGTCCAAGTATATCTGTTCCTGCCACATTTAAAGATAGCAGCAGCTACTATGACTACTGATTTAGATAAAGAATGGCAGCACACAAGGTATCATAATATATTTCAAGAGCAGGAGTAAAAACAAAAGACTCATTCAATAATGGCTATGTATTTCCATTCCGACACAATTTTCTACTGGCCTGATTAAGTAGTATCACCACCAGTATTTTTTTTTTTAAATCAATGCACTTTAATACTTATCTAATTGAGGCAGGCCCTCAGGAGAAAAAGCAAATTACAGAGGAAGTAAAATCCCTCCCAAGCAACAAGTACGTAATTTTTCAGTAGTATTATGTGGATGCCTGTATGATCTGACAGTGACCTGATAAGAAGCCTGTAATTTGATTAATCCTATGCAACTGCTGGTGTTTAAATTAAACATGATTTGGCATACATCTCTAAGAGCAGCAGCTTCCATTTTATGCAAAAAGAAAGAAACAAGCAAAAACACCTGGTGTGCTTCCCTTGAACTAAATCAACTCCTCCTGAACATTTTGATTAAAAAATGTTTTCCAGTATGAGCATTCTTAAGACAACAACCTGAAAACTGTACTATTTGCAATACTTACAAAACCATTCCCATCTTCATCAAGAAATGGATATGCCTGTAGCAATGCATTGACAACAATGTTATACTGCTGACTGTTTGGATATCTGTTTGAACAAAATGAAGAGCATATATGAATTGTTTGCATTTTTGGCACTTTGTCTTCAATCTGAAATACATAATTTAGATATGGTCAACTGATGCAGTATTTCTGACATATTTTATATTAAATTGCATTAAAGGAAAGGTTATCCTAAAAGTATTGCATGGGGAGAACCTTTATAATTTAAGCCAAAGTCCACTAAAGCCAAGAGTCTTATCATTCACTTCAAAAAGCTTGGAATCAACATTTTTTATCATTTAAATCTCACATAGCAAATGGCTTAGAATCGTCTGAAAAAGTTCATTTCACAGTCTGTTGACAACTCCAAAAAGAGTAAATCCAAAACAGCTGTACTTACAGTGATCCTTCCAGGTATTTTGTCATGTCTGCCTGTAAAAATTCAATAATTCTTATTCTCATGCTGTGGTCAGGGCACTTTCTTTCTGCTAATATACATTTGACATCATAAGGGAACCCAGGCAAAATGTATGAATTTGTCCACTGCAGTGTCTTATATCTTGCAAAAACAGGCTTCATATTTTTTCTAGAGAAAGAAAGAGACAGAGAGAGAGAGATGAAATTAGCCAAAGTTTATCAGATTCTAAAATAGTTACATTTTTCCCATGTTGGAAATAGTGGGGGGGAAGAGAAGGGAGGAAGCACACCACAAACCACATACTTTTATACAAAAGAAATCTATGACCGTATTGGTTAGAAGTCATTAGTCTTTTGGACTTAATCAGGTGACTTATTTTTCCTGTCTCAGTCTCTATAGTAGAAAAATAAAGCTGCATTTACAGCATGCAATAAAATCTTTGAAGATGTTAGAACACTTGCATGTTAAATCAAGTGCTAGGAAAGGACTGCCATACATGTGATCAGTAACCAAATGTGCACAGAGTATGTGCACATTTTATGCCAGAACCTATGTGGAGACTTGTTTTTAACAATCAATGTTTCACTACAATCAGGAAGCGTGAATAATACTATGTTTATGAAAAATATCAAGATGCAAAAACAAACAAATGTCTCAGAACTGCAAGAGGCAGTCTTAGTTTTAAAGATGCTAGGAGCCCTGCAAGTTCAATGGCTCTCATGAAACACTGAATGAATTTCAACCGGCATCTTGTGAGAGTGTATTGGGAGTTATGGAAATTTCCTTTTAAAATAAGATTAGCACAAGCCGCGACTGAAATTTCCTTTTAAAATAAGATTAGCACAAACCATGACTGAATTAACAATGACAATTATTAGGCAATTATTTAAGGAAGGTGAGAGAGAGAGACTAAACCAGTGGTTCTCAACCTTCTTAGACTCAAGATGCCCCTCAGAAGACGTCAGCTCTTAGTTTGCCCTCCATTTTTGACTACAGAAAAATAATAGAGGAATTCTTCTGTTGCAAAGAAAGATTACAGGTCAAAATGTTGTGACACTAAGGATTCCTATTTGAAATTTCTGGGTTTATCTTGTGAATCATGTTTACACACCTAACAGTATTAACATTGTGTAGCACCACGTAGCACCCTTGGAAGAATCACTGGACTAGACTGAGGTCTAACACAAAATATACATCTTTTCATGTCTCAAGTTCTCTCCACAAGAGCCATTAAGCCACAGGTCTACTGGCATTTCTATATCAACTAGAAGCATTGAAGAACCAACCAAACAAAAAAGAGTCACACCTAACCAATGTAGCTATGCCAGTAAAACCCCCACTGTAGAAGGTAACAGCTTTTGCTAGCTAAGCATTCATGCAGAGGGATGGTGAAGTGGTGAAGCTATTATGGCAGGAAAAAACTCCTTTCTATGTACTTCTCTAGGTTACAAAGCTCTGCAGGGCCTGCTGACTGGCTACTGAGGATAGCAAGCTTCCCATTTAAGTCCACCTTTGGCATCAGACTGTAAACCAGCCAACAATTCTGCCTGAAAGTCTGTTGTGGTGAGCCTCCCTGGACGTTGCGGTTTTCTGAATTCCAGTTTGCTCAGCTCTGCTAATACGCTCAGGCTTTGTGAACTCTGTTCAGCTTTGGCAACCTATGACATAGACTATGCCTCTGTAATTCCCCTGCCTGTAGCCTTCTCCTGTGTCCTAGCCACCAGTTCAAACTTTCTATGCTCTGGTCCTTAGCCTGTATCTCCATTGGATCCAACCCTAGCTGTCACCTTCAAAAGCCTCTGTGCTCTCTGAACCAGTTTCTATAAGGCTGTGTGTCGACGAAATGAGAGGCATGTGCGCACAACACTTTAAAGTGGGTTAAATGCTTCTGCAGCGCTTTAATGGTGTTACTGTTTGCATGCTTCGGCAGCGTATTGCGCAGTAATTCCAGTCACTGTAGCAAACTTGGCAGTGTAATGCACCTTAAATGACTGAGGAGTTTTAGTTTGCTGCCCTACAGCCGTGGAGCAAACCACCAGGCTCCATGCAGCTCAGGGCTCTGCAGGAAGCTCATGGAGGCAGCCTGGCCGCAGCCTGGATAAACAGGCTCCACCCAAGATCTTTTTATTTCCCCCACATCACCCCAAGAGCCTGCCTGCATGCCTAAGCTGCTCAGGGGCCTGGTGCTTCCCTCCATGGCTGTTGTGCCCCCGAGGACTGCCTGAGCTGGGTGCCTGCAGGCAGGTGTTGCCTGTGGGGGCTGCCGCTGCCACCGAGGGAAGCATCAGTCCCCAACCCCCAGCCCAGGGATCGCTCCACCTGCCAGCAGCTTGCCCTCCCCTCACCACCACCGGAGAGGCAGGGAACGTCAGGTGTGTGCACAACACTGGGGTTTAAAGGGCCCTAAACTGAAGTGTTGTTTTTAAAAACCTACCGCTTCAATTCAGGGTCTCCGTTTCATCTATACATGCCCCAGGGTGCTACCCTAGCTTCACCTTCAGACTAACACAGCTAATTACCTCTCCCTCCAGATCAGTTTTGCAACTGTTACTTAGTTAATGGCATCAAAGGCAGAAAAATACAAGAGTGTAGGTATGAACAAACATATCTTTAAGCCACTTTAAAAGGAAAGGGGGAGCTCCTGTAAGGATACAGCTATTTACATGGGCCTGAGTCTATAGGGAGTGATACAAGTTAGTGAAACTGCCCTCAATTTGACCCTGGATGAAGCAGGGTTAAAGTTGGAGCAGTTTTACTATACTTGTAGTGCTACAGATTCATGCTGATTTAACAATTGCATCATAACATCTTGTATCAGTATTCATTGATAAAAGTACAATTATTACACCTGCCTGTACCCCATGAATACCAAGCGTGACAAACAGAGGAGTAAGAATTGTATACCTAGGCTTAACCATATTACAGAAAAAGGTATGCAATTTTTTTGAATCAACCTTTTTATCTTTAATTATACATGTTAATTGGAATAGAGACATCGCACGTAGATGATATGGACACCTCTGATGTTTGCCCTCCTTTTCTAAATGCTATTTATTCAAGGTGCTGTGCAGCCCATGATTTTTGATCCTTTTGCTTTTTGGTACCACCTGCACTGATTCAATTTCCTCAGTGTTACTAATAATGGAAGTCCTAGAGTAGATGGGAAGCCAACTATCACCAGTGATTTTTAACCAGCATTAATTAATCCAGTTCAAGCTAGGTCTATTTGACATTAAGTTCAAACCATGTAGCTAGCTTGCAAACTATCACACAGTAAGATGGGCAATGTTGCTACCACTGTTAGAGCCAAACCAACCTTAACAAGAAAGGTGGGAAGTTTTGGAAGTTGTCACTAGGCCCCGTTAGAATTATAAACTATATCTTTCCACTGCCTCAGTTCATTGGAACAAAGCTGCTTAGCTTGAAGTCAAACTCCTAAATGAAATTTGAGAGTCAATTAAGAAAACTTCCCTGGAAACCAGCATGTCTGCTTCCATGGGAACTGTCACTCCCCATCCCCTTCAAAGCTTCCCAGCACATAACAAGCACTCCAAGCTCCACAGTACTGTTGAAGTTTCTCTCAACCTTGCCCCAGCCTACACGAGAGTACATAATTAGTTTTCAATCTCTAAACAAGGTATGAAAAAAATCTTTTAATTTCCATGAACTGTAAAGGAAGAAATATGTTAGGTTTAGGTGACCTCAAAGATGAGTAGGTAATTATAATAAATAAGTAAAATAATTTTAAAATTGAATAGTTGGGTCAGCGAGAGAGAGATGCAACTCCACACTAATATCCTTCCTATATACAGAAGCAACCATATAGAAATGTTCGCTTAATTAAAATAGAGCAACAATACACCTATGGCTAAACTAATGAAATGTGTAAGACTAACATGTTCAGAGGCATAAACTACTTTGTCAGATTTAACAGGCTGCTCTTACACATTATGTGGCAAGCTCATAGAGACACCCACAACACTAGAAAAGTTATACCTGGTTTGCAGTAGTTGTGAAGTTGCAGTAGTGCTAGTAAGTACATCAACACCAATGTCCTAGCTGTGACAGACCAAAGTGAATTCCTTCAACAACATTCATCAAAATTATTCTGATCTTGGTCTATATTCTTGCTCTTAAGCATCTTTTCTGAAGAGCAAACTCTCTGTTCACCCTTTATTCCGAACTTTTTGTTTTATACCTTCAGCATCCTGATCCCTAACCACTTCCTTCACTGCTTTCACCACTTTTACTCCATTACTTGTTGTAATACTGTGTGTGTACCTTGGAACAATTCTATATGCATCAATTTTGTGACTCTTGGGTTTAAAATATTTGGAGAGTCATCTTTTCTTGATTTCTTTCAGTGCTAGGTTAGAAAAGCAGCATGTCCTGCAATATATACAGAATGTTAATCCCTAAATGGAATCAGTCAAGTCATTTGACAATTAAATTAGTCTTCCCATGATTTCCGATTCCCCTCCCCACCCGCCATGGTGGCTGCAACAGTGGCAACTTTGTCTCATATTTTCAGCCTTCAGTACAAGATTTGTCCCCAAGCCTTCTAAAAAAGGGTTAATAATTTTGGAAAATGTCTATAACTTTCCATTTGCAGTGACTAATTCTCAGCAAGAATGCAATAAGGGAACTTCATAAATAATTATAATAATTGCCTTAGTTATAAACTTTGGAGTACAAAACAGCTTGTGCTGTGGTAGATTTCTTGGATGTAGACTCATCACAACTTTGTGCATATTGCAGCCATTTGCTAGTTTTATTTTGTAAATTTTCTCTCCCTGTATAGAAGATACATTATACCACTCAGTGGCTTTTCAATGAGTCTTTCCAGGTTGCCAGCATGATTTTCTGGCATGACTGAATTGCACAATGATTCTCCAACTTGACCAAAAAAGATTGTTTGTTTGTTTTAAATATTTTCATATTTGAAGAACTTTCTTAGGAATTTTATTGGATCTTCCCCATGATTAATTCTCAACTGCTGTAGTAAATTATAGCAGAAACTTATTTTTAAAAAGAAACCAAAGGAAACTGTATAGCCCAATTGCATATTCCGGAATCTAAATCAAGTAGGGTTGTGATTTTTGCAAAGTAGCAGAAAAAAGTCTGAGAAGCAGTTCAGAAATAGGTGACCATGAGGTATTACCAACCTG